ATAAAACATACCAAGTAAAAAATGCATTCAAGCACAAATTCGTAGCAAATAACACAAAAAGCACACAATTGGGTCACTCAAAAAGACATATTGGTAAATAAGACAGTAAGCACATTCAGGTAAAGCATATTCAGCCAGAGATTCAAATAGAGCAAAATCAGGCACAGATTCATATAAATCAACTTTAGGCAAGAATTCATAACAGTTAGCACAATAAGTATACAAGCAACAATGTTAACAATATGCACCAACAGTGTTAGAAAAACACACCACAATGAAATGCAATAAAACATCACAGAATACACAACAGACTCAAAAAAATACACTATATAACTCACCACCCCCAATGGTGTATTTCTGAACAGTGTATGATGTTTTTACTCACACCTAATGGTGTGTGTTTGGTGATGCAGGGCTCTATTTACTCTGCTTTTTGTGGTGTATTTTCCTAACGTTGATGGTGCATATTTGTTGAACTATTGGTGTTGCTGCGCCGTAAGAAATCGCCGCAACTGTAACACCCCAGATTTTTAGGATATTTAAAACTTATAAAATAAAGGCGAAATCCCATTAAATCCCAAAACATGCACAAGAATATGGGGTGCTATGCCACACCTGAGCTAGAGAACTCAGGTGCACAGGCTAACTAACTAATATCCTCAAATAGTATCAATACTAAATCATGGCACGCAGGCCGAAAGGGAAAACTATCTAAGCTATGCCCAAGCTTCTAGCGCACTCCAGTGATCTACTCGTCTGTGCCTGAAAGCCAAATATATCTGTTCAGCGAGAGATGCTGGTAACCCACTCCAACGCGTGGAAATACATTACATATAGAGATATATATAGATATACGAAAACCATTTTGAAGCATGAAGATAAATCCTACAAGACTCTAGTTTTTAAAACCGGGAATGACTCGACAGATAAGGCTAGACACAAGCAACAGTTATAATCAAGCGTATACAATCCACAACAGGCAAGACAGATAAAGCTGATCACGAATAATAATCATAACCCATCATACACAATCCCTAGCATAAATCTTATAGTCAAATCCCCCAATATACTCATAAACACGACTCACCCATATCTCATCAAATAGCACACTTTGTTGGCGCCACAGGACCAATCGCATGCCCATACATGAGGGTCAGCGCATATAGCTCTGACACGGCCCCGCAGCACCCTGCCCCGTCTCACATTACGGAGGAGCCGATCGCAACCGGCTGATGGACCTTTGTCCTACATAATATTTATATACCTGACCGGTCTTTACCAGCCTGGTTAACAGTTGAGATGGTTCTCAGCCCATTCAACTGCCCGTATAGTGGACCTTTGTCCTATATAATATTTATATACCTGACCGGTCTCTACCAGCCTGGTTAACAGCCGGTATGGTTCTCAGCCCATCCGACTGCCCGTATAGTGGAACTTAGTCCTATATAATATTTATATACCTGACCGGTCTCTACCAGCCTGGTTAACAGCCGGTATGGTTCTCAGCCCACCCGACTGCCCGTATAGCCCGATTGATCTTAACCAACTAGGGATTACATGCACACATAACACATAGCAAGTACATGCAACCCACATTAACACATTGGGAAGGGGGAGAAAACGTATAACAAAACCGGTGCATGATCCATCACATACTAAGAATAGTCCTAAGGGGTTCATACTTCTTCCACCTAGGTCAACGGGATACCAATTCAATTAGCATGCAATGTAATAGACTCATAAACCTACGAACGGTACCCGAAATATCAAACTAGACACAGGCACGATAAACGAAGTCCGTTGGGACACCACGGGGAACGGGAGAACATCAAACGGGGAAGCCGAAAACCCGAGATGGGGGAATTTCCAGCGGGTAGCCGGTGGGTGGGGGGGCCACCCGCCGGCTGCCCGCCGGTAACACTGTTCCGGGCAGCGGGTCGCCGGCGGGTAGCTGCCCGCCCACCGGCTGCCCGCTGCCGGAGATACACTTTCCGGCCGTGGGTAGGTGGCGGGTCCCCTACCCCCCACCTACCCCCCACTGACTCTTATCACACAAATTCGCCCCGGGAACCATTGTGGAACCCGAAACCATGCTTAGACACGCTACAACGCAATCAACGACAACACGTAGACAATTAACGGATCAATACGAGAACGAACGGCACATAACCTATCATGCTTTTCTAAACATAATCAACACCCAAACATGCGATTTCCCCACCCGATAATCCAAGAATAATATCATACAATACAACCTAGGGTTCTAATCACTTTTATATCAACAAGAATACGATTCGCCTTCTAATTGCAAGATTCGGTAAGAATGACACATAAGCATCACGGGCATCACACAATTATCAATAACAACACATAATCATCAAGAACTCCATATAATCATCAAGAACATCATAATTATCAAGAATCTCCCAATATCAAGATTATCAAGATCCCCCATGGGATCATCACATCAATCATCAATAATAATCATCATAAGTCATTAATACACAAAAATATGGGGAAACCCTAAGGGGGAATCATAACTATAAAAATAGGTTTTGTTGAGACATGGGTTACCTCTTAGCCTCAATTAATTCCTTGGCTATGAAGGGTCTTTCTTTAAGCTTTCTTGCTTTCTTGATTTCTTCTAGGGGGATTCTTGGAGCTCTTTGGGGAGGTGGGGCGTTATTCTTGTGGGGGGTTTCTAGGTGCCTCTTAAGTCCCCTATTTATATATTTAGGAGTCCTAGTTAGGAACTAATATTATGGGCTTGTTAGTTCTATTTCTTTTGGGACTAAGGATTGGGTTTAGGGATAAGGGCCCGTGGGCTATGGTGGGCCTTCCTAATTAATTATTGTGATTTAATTCTTTCTTTTGGGTAATTGATTAAATGATTTAATTGATCTTAGGGGTCGTAACACGGGGTGTTACAGCACCGTAAGGCACTGCCGCACCTGAACTCGCCTATATATATATATATATATATATATATATATATATATATATATATATATATATATATATATATATATATATATATATATATATATATATATATATATATATATATATATATATATATATATATATATATATATATATATATATATATATATAGGGATGCACTCAGGTGCGAATAAGTGCTCAGGAGGGAAATGCGAACGAATCAGCGCGCGACACGTGTCCAAATCTAATAACTTAAAAAAATGCGGTGGCATTTTCGTAAATAATTGAACATCGAAGTGCAAGTAAAATCACTTACAAGTGCACCTACTTTCACCTATAAGTGCATGTAATTTTGCCTTGTTAGCATTCACTTTCCACAAACATTCATACACCTGGGTGTGCTTATAACTATATGTGCAACTATTTATAACTATAGGTGCAACTACTTATAACTATAGGTGCACCTACTTTCACCAATAAGCAGGGTTGTAAAAATCGGTCTAGGCGCCCGCCTAGGCGCTAGGCGCTTTTAGACCGTGGCGATTTCCCTGCTAGGCGCCCGCTTAGGTTACCGGCCGCCTAGCGCCTAACTCGGCCGATTTGGCCGTCTAGCGTCTAAGTTAGTCGAGTTAACAGGTCATTAGGGTTTAGGCTACTTTTCGGCGAATTTTCTGGCAAAAAAATAGTGACCAGCAACCGACCCAAATTTGTCGAAAATTTCTCAGAAATTTCGCCAGACACTTTTTTTTTTTTTTTTTTTCCGAAAAATTCGCCGGAAGGTGGCCTGAACCCTAATGAGCTGGGATAGCAGGTCACTAATTTATTTTTGGGCTTCATTGCACTTAAATGAATTGTTGAGGGATGTAATTGCACCTTTAAAAAGTTTAGGGGCCTAATTGACTTTTAAGCTAAAGTTCGAGGGCCTGTTTGACCATTTTCCCTTTTTTTTATTATATATGTGTGTGTGTGCGCGCGCGCATACATATATAGAATATGACATATATACACTCGTAGACTAGTTTGATACTTTTAATCTTTGGATGATTGAAGTATTTGAGTATTTTTAATTTTTAATATTGTTTTAATGTTTTTTTTTAAAACCATTGTTTTGATGTTATGACTTATGAATTATCATTAATTCATTTATTTGGATGTGTTATTTGATTAAATGTTGATAACAACCTCATTAAAATTGTCAAAATGCATGTCTACCACTGTTTTTTTGGCGCCCGCCAAGCGTCGCCTAGATTCCGCCTAGGCGCCGCCTAGACCACCTAGGCGCTAGGCGCTGTCCGGGCGCCCGACTAGCGCCAAGCGCCTACTGCAACCATGCCTATAAGTGCATGTAATTTTGTCTTGTTAACATTCATTGATCTGAGTTCAGCGGGTAGTAATACCCCTGAAAACCACTCGCAAACATTCATACACCTAGGTGCAACTACTTAGAACTATAGGTGCAACTACTTAGAACTACAGGTGCAACTAAGTATTGATGCTCAGTGTAAATTTTTACTTGCACCGATAATACATTTTACATGCACTTGTAATACATTTTACTTGCACTTCGATGTTCAATTATTTACGAAAATGCCACCGCTAAAAAATCAGTGTTTTTCATCCATTAGATCTGGACACGTGGACGGACATAATTCATTCCTATTTCGCGCCTGGGCGAAGCATTCGCACCTGAGTGCGATTATATATATATATATATATATATATATGCCTTACCCTTTCTCCGCTTAACACATCATCAACATCCTTTAAGTTGCCAGACCTGCTTCTAGGTTCCTCTTCTCTTGCAATATGCCAACCCATTTCTTGGATTAAATCATGCATCTGTATTCTTCCGATTTCTTCTTTTTTCCTGAAAAAATGGCTGAACAAAGGCAACAATGGTGCAAGGTTAAGCAGCGACGACGGTAAGTGATAGGCGGTAGCAGCTTCTCCATTGCAACAAGTCAACCTCCTTCTCCGGCGAAGAAGCACACAGTTTGACCTTCATTGTCATCCATGATCCATCATACACTGAGTATATACAATTTATCTTTAGAATTAGTGTGATTCAGGCTAAAACGAGCTGGACTTTGATTTGGGCTGAAACATCTAGCATAATATCGCAAGATTCTCCCCGGCGCAACAACACTACACCGGGAAAATTTGGCAAATTATATCGTGCACCTGGCCGCACATAGCAATGTGCGTCCAGGCACAAAACACGCATGTTTCATGCTGACGTCATGCTGATCTCACTCCGTCCATCTGAATAGACCAAACCTCATTATGTGTATTCAGTTAAAATTTTATGTATATTGTGTTATGAGTTTATGTGTATTCAGTTAAGAGTTTGTGTGTATTATATTAACCAAACCCCATTAAGTGTATTCAGTTAAAAGTTTATGTGTATTGTGTTATGAATTTATGTGAATTCAGGTAAGAGTTTATGTGTATTATATTATGAGTTTATGTATATTATGTTAAGAGTTTATGTATATTATGTATTCTGTTATGAGTTTATGTGTATTCTGTTATGAGTTTATGTGCATTCGAAACAGAAATTTTTTGTTTTTAACAACTTAACAAAATGATGTCGTTTTGGGAGGCACGGAGCGCACATTGCTGTGCGCGGCCTGGTGCACGGTATAACGATTGGACAAATTATGCTGTGAGCGCGTGCTCGCCTTGCAAGATAGGCACGGTTCCATATCCATAATTTACGTACTGTAGCTTCATAATTTCTATATTGTAGATCCATAATTTCTATATTGTAGATTTATAAAATTTATATTTTAGATTACAATTGTTGAATTCTGTTTTCACAAATCAAAAAATTATATGTTCATAATTTGATAACTATACAGTTTAGAAATTATGAATTTACAGTATAGTGCAGATATTATAAATTTACCCTATAGAAATTATGAATTCACTGCATATAAATTATAAATCTACTGTATTTAAATTATAAATTACAATTTAAAAATTATAAATCTAAAGTCTAAATTTTAGAGAAAAGGGTCAAATAAGTCCCTGAACATTTCGCAAAAGGTCAATTAGGCCCATAAACTTTTTAAAAGTGCAATTGAACACATGAACTCATGATTTTGAGTCATCTGACCCCGTTAGCCGGTTACCCCTCCCTTAGGTGTTGGTAACTGCCCTCGTGGCTCGCCACATAAGCTGAGTTTTGATTATTTGGATTGCCACGTAAGCATAAATTTTAAAAAAAAATTACTTCCCCCTATTCTTCATCTTCTGCTTCGTCTTCTTCACATAAGCTGAGTTTTGATTATTCACTTCATCGCTTCTTGATCTTCATCTTTTTATTATTATTATTATTATTATTATTATTATTATTATTATTATTATTATTATTATTATTATTATTATATCTGAGTTCTCGGACGGTGGCAGAGCGATGGGTGCGACAAAACCGGTGAGGATGGACTGACCACGGTGGTGGAGCGGCGGTCAGGATGTAGTGAAGACGGTGGTGCGACGACGGCGGTGAAGTGAATGGGGTTGAGTGACGACACTGATGTGGTGAGGATGGAGTGGTTCATATTCAGATCTGAGTTGGATTGCCCATGGCGACGCCATTGCTGGTTCAGATTCGAGATCAAAGGTCGCTTCTGGATTTGCAGCTATATGATCAAAGGACCAGCTTTTCTTGGATGATTATAAGATCATGACGGTGGAAGCAGTAGAGGACAACGGAAAGAATTATTTCATTACTGGAAGTGGAGAAAGTTTGTTACAGAAAGGAAAGAAAGTGAATATATACACAGAGGGAGAAGGGAGGTTGCAACTGATTAACAACTAATTAAAGTGGTTACATAGAGAAGATATTTTCAGCTTCAGCAGTGTTATTACTCTCTCCTAATACCCCCCCCCCCCCCCCCCCCCCCCCGTAAACTGGAGCATGGAGATCATGAATGCCCAGTTTAGAAGTAAACAACTGGAAGGATGAAACAGGGAGGGCCTTGGTGAATCCATCTGCAACCTGAGCTGAGGAGGGCACTGATAGCAGCTTGACAAGTCCCTGATTGAGTTTCTCTCGCACTATGTGACAATCTATGTCAATGTGCTTAGTCCGTTCATGAAAAACGTGGTTTTCGGCGATGGCAATGGCCGATTTATTATCACAAAATAGAGCAGCAGGTTTGTTTTGTTCAACTCGTAAATCATTCAGTAGTGTTGTTATCCATTGAACCTCACAAACGGTGGATGCTAAGGCACGGTACTCTGCTTCAGATGATGACCGAGAGACCGTGACTTGCTTCTTCGACCTCCAAGATATGAGAGCAGATCCCAGAAATAAACAGAACCCTGTTACAGATTTGCGAGATTCTGGACATGATGCCCAGTCAGAATCTGAAAATACATTTAGCTGCATGTTGTTGAGTTTTGGATAGAATAGGCCTTGTCCGGGAGCCTTCTTAATGTATCGAAGGACCCGATGTGCAGCTGCCAAGTGCTCAGTTGTTGGTGCATCCACATATTGGCTGAGTTGTTGTATGGCAAATGTTATATCCGGTCTTGTTGCAGTTAAGTACAATAATCTGCCAATGAGACGCCGGAAAGGAGATGCATCATCAAGAGTGGTTCCTCCTTCTTTGGTCAAGCGATGTCCAGGAACCATGGGGGTATTAACTGGTTTACAGTCGAGAAATCCTGCCTCATCAAGTATATCCAAGGCGTATTTTCGCTGGCATAAATTCAAACCGGATGCATTCATGTTGGCTTCAATACCCAAAAAATACCCCAATGAACCCAAATCTTTGATTTTGAAAACTGTATTGAGGAAGTCTTTAAGTTCCTGAATCAGATGTAGGCTTGGACTTGTTACTAGTATATCATCCACATACACAAGAATAGCAATGAAGTTCTTATCATCCCCTTTTGTAAACAGAGATGGATCAGAATTTGACTGTGTAAAACCTTTGTGTACTAGAGCATTGCTTAGCTTAGCATTCCACTGCCGAGAAGCCTATTTTAGACCATAAAGGGATCGTAGCAACTTGCATACCTGAGTTGATTTTTCCCCTTGAAAACCAGGCGGTAAAACCATATAAACCTCCTCGTCTAAGTCACCATGGAGGAAGGCGTTGTTGATGTCGAGTTGATGAATATGCCATGCCCGGGAGGATGCTACAGCTAGAAAAGTTCGTATAGTGGTGATTCTTGCAACTGGTGAGAAAGTTTCAACATAATCTATTCCCAGTTGTTGAGTGTAGCCCTTGGCTACTAGCCTAGCCTTGTATCGTTCCACCGAACCATCTGGCTTTAGCTTTACCTTAAAAACCCACTTGCATCCTATCGGTTTCTTCCCGGGAGGCAGATCAACTAAGGCCCAAGTATTGTTATCTTGCAATGCTTTAATTTCAGCTGTCATTGCATCTCTCCAACATTTATGTTGTATGGCTTGACTATATGTACGTGGCTCATCAATAGTAGTAACTGCCAAAGCAAGCTTCATATGTGGCAAGGAGAGATGACTAAAGGATATAACCTTAGATAAGAGATGGGGAGATGAACCTTGTGTCATGGCAGTGTCACAGTAGTAGTCCATCAGCTTACATGGGGCACGGCGGCTTCTATCAGAACGTCTAGGCTGGACCAGTGGCGTATTACAGGACTGTGTAGGAGATTCTTGGCTATCGATGCTGACAGAGACATCTCGGCCAATGCTATCCTCTCTGCAGAGTTGTAGGCCACCAAGATCCACTGGTTCATGCGGCACATCGATGACTGCTGGTTCAAGAGGTTGTGACACATTAAAGTCCACTGGTTCATGTGACACATGTGGTGTGTGATGAGCTGTTGGTCCATGCAGTTGATCATGTGGCTTCAAGGCCAAATCCAGTGAGATAGGGATATTAGGCAGAGATGGCTCCAGACATGTTGCCTTCATATTAGGACCTCCTTTGTCTGACATGGGAAATTGATTTTCATAGAAAACAACATCTCTTGATATGAAGACAGAAGCATCATCTAGACTGTACAATAGATACCCTTTGACCCCTGCAGGAATACCAATAAACATGCATTTCTTCCCTCTAGGTGCCAGCTTGTGTCTGCCATTTGATAGTGTAGATGCATAGCATAGGCAGCCAAACACCTTAATATGGCTAATATCTGGATCCCTTCCATACAGTCTTTTGTAGGGGCTTAACAGATCAATGACTGGGGAGGGAAGCCTGTTTATTATGAAAATAGCATGCATAATACAATGTCCCCAAAAATCTAAAGAGAGGTTAGCTTGAAAACGTAATGCTCTAGCAACATTAAGGATATGTTGGTGTTTTCTCTCTACAACTGCATTTTGTTGTGGTGTATTAACACATGAGCGTTGATGAACTATCCCATTTTCTGAGAAGAAGTCTCCCATTTTAAACTCAGGCCCATTGTCACTACGAATTGTTTTGATTAAGATGCCAAACTGAGTAAACACATAGGCATGGAAATTTTTCAAGAATTGTCTTGCTTCCGATTTATTTTCCATCAAATGTATCCAAGTGAATCTAGAGTAGTCGTCAACCAACGTCAAGAAATAGCGTTCTCCTTTTAAAGAACATACAAGAAACGGTCCCCATATATCAATATGGACCAAATCAAAACAAGATTTCGAGCTAGTGACACTTATTGGGAAAGAGCTACGTTTATGCTTAGCTAAATGACATATGTCGCATGCTACATTCTTGCTTCTAACAGTATCAATATCACACAAGAGGTGAAGTTTATTAGTTGGGAAGTGCCCCAACCTTTGGTGCCAAAGTTCAGGACTAGCACACTGCATAGCATAGGATTTATCCGGTAATCTTGATGGTTGCATCAAATATAGACCCCTTTCTTCTTTAGCTAATCCAACTATATGGCCATGAATCCCCTGAATCAAACACTGATTCGACATGAAAGTTAGTCTATAAGCAGCATCATGGATCAATTTGCTTACAGAAATAATGTTGAATTGGAATAAGGGAATATGCAATGCCTCCTTTAACCATAAGCTGTCACTGAATTTCACATCCCCTATATGTTTAACTGTGATACACTGGCCAGTGGGGAGATTGACTTCAACTCCGTTAACTTCATGGTAATTAGCAAGAAGATCAAGGGAACACACAATGTGGTTTGTGGCCCCAGAATCAAGAATCCAAGTAGAGTTATTCAAAGAGAGAGAATTAATAGAGTACTTGCCTTCTGTCTTCTTGTTATCAAAAGTTGGGGTCAAGGCAATTGCAGCAGACATATTTGGAGTGGATGATCCAGAAGCTTTGTCTGCTTGGACTTGTAGGAGGGAAAGAATTTTATGTATCTGCTCAGAGGTGATCCCCAACTCTCCTACAGTACTCATGGCTGTTGTGGCCTGTTGTTTATTCTTCGATTTGAAGCCCGGAACCCATCCGGGAGGGTATCCGTGCTTTTTGTAGCACTTGTCAACTGTGTGGCCGGACATCCCACAGTAGGTACATTTTGCCTTCATAGCATTGTTTCTCCTGCCATTGAAATTGTTTGGAACAGCAGCCACAATCTCTTCAATTGCAGATCCCTGTACAGCATTCGCATGGTTGATGTCTGAACCAATTGGGATCACATTAGTTAGGTTGATCTGTCTCTCCAATTTTTCTGCCATAACAAATACTTTGTAGACCTCTGGTAATGGATCTAACACAAGCACGTTAGACTTCAGATTGTTAAAGTCATCATTGAGGCCTTGAAGGAATCGGATCACTTGATCTGTATCCCTTTCCTTCCTGATGATGTCGGGTAGATCACAGCAACATCTAGGATTGCACTTGCAGAGAGGAAATGGCCTCATTACGTTCATCTCCTCCCAGAGTGTTCTACACCTCGTGTAGTACTCATTAACAGATAAGGCTCCTTGTTTCAAGTTATAAATTTCGCTCTGCAAGCTTGAGATCCTCTGCGCATCCTGTTGCGAAAATCTTCGTCTTAGATCCTCCCATATGTCAGCAGCTTTCTCAAAGTGCATTATACTTTGAGCTATGGACGGGTGCACAGATTTGAAGATCCAAGAGGAGATCATCAAATTACATCGTCTCCAGGCGGCGTAGTGGCTCTGTTCTCTGTTCGGCGGTGGAGAGCTACCGTCGACGAGTGTCCATTTGTTCTTAATCTCCAGGGCCATTCTCATCGATATGCTCCACGTACCGTAGTTCGAACTGCCTAACAATGGTGGATTGACAAGAATCGCTGACGAGCTATCACTGGAGCTGAGAAACAACGGATTCTCCAACTCATGAGTATTGTAGTTTCTCTGCGATTGGGACTGGCTCCTCTGAGGAGTCGTCACTGGAGTTGCACGAACCGGTGACTGCATTGCCGGCGGATTAACGTGCGCTGCGTGGCTAGTTTCTCCGATGCCGGAGACTGCGGCGGCGTAGGTGATACGCCGTGGCTCTGATACCATGACGGTGGAAGCAGTAGAGGACAACGGAAAGAATTATTTCATTACTGGAAGTGGAGAAAGTTTGTTACAGAAAGGAAAGAAAGTGAATATATACACAGAGGGAGAAGGGAGGTTGCAACTGATTAACAACTAATTAAAGTGGTTACATAGAGAAGATATTTTCAGCTTCAGCAGTGTTGTTACTCTCTCCTAATAGATCAAATGGTTTTTAGTTGCTTTAGAGCTTTTGAATCCTGTAAAGATCATATAGAGGAACGTGCACAAGGTGAGAAGGTTTTTAATTTTATGAATTTTTTTTTGCAATATTTAATCTGTATAAAATTCTTTCTCCATTGTTGGTTCATCAAAATTTGTGTTCTGGTTGGCAATTGTTTACTCGGATGAAATGAATAAAGAAGAAAAAGAATAGGGACGTTTACTGGAAGTAAATTGATGCTCATTCTCGGCCTTCGAGGATGAACACGGCGACGACGGAGTTTCCTGATCCTCACTTAACAGTATCTTCCTCAATAATTCCGGCATTGCACATAACGCATGCTGTCGTTGCAGCTTCCCAATAATTTCGGTTGAAGATCGAGAAAACTGCCCGGATATGTCTGTTGTAGAAGACGAAGTAGAATAAAGAAGATGAAGAATAGGGAGAAGTATTTTTTTTTATTTATTTATTTATGCTTACGTGACAATCCAAATAATCAAAGCTCAGCTTATGTGGTAAGTCTCGAGGGCAGTTACCGACATTAAGGGAGGGGTAATCGGCTAACGGAATCAGGTGACTCAAAATCGTGAATTCATGTGTTCAATTGCACTTTTAAAAAGTTCATGAGCCTAATTGACCTTTTACGAAATGTTTAGGGTCTATTTGACCTTTTTTCTAAATTTTATAAATGAATCTACAATATAAAAATTATGAATTTACATTATACAAATTATAACGTTAGTAGCACAAAAATCTCCTTCTGAGCCATCGTTGCCGTCACCCAAGTAGAATAAGCTACCATGCCGCGTACTATTACAGCCGAGAGCCCTGGCTGCCCTCGCCTCCGGGCCTTAACCTTCGATGTACTTGGACTCATCAAAGGTTTGTCACAATTTGATTCTGATGACACACATTTTCCTCTCTCTAAACCATTCCTATGCGGTTATTGATTCTCTGTAGACTATAGCTATGTATACGTGGGGCGTTGTTCGTTTTGGTGTTTTGAAATAATAGATTCTTAGTTGCAATTTACCTTAAGTGTATATATATATGCATATGTTCCCATATCACTTAGCTGTAGTTTTGTACAGTGATTGAAGCTCGCGGCGGCGAGCAAAAGGAAGCTCCGGCTGTGGTGGAACGGTGGGGCGCCCCGGATTCCTCAAGATGCGTGCTTGCTACTTCCATGATTGACCGCGAGCACGACCCTGTATGTTTTAATCAATATATATATATATTCTCTATGTTTTTATTTTTTCTAAATTAGGTCTTAATGTCTTCTGTCTTGGATTCTCACTTATTTCAGTTGCTTGGTGTTGCAAGAAAAAATGGCATGGTAATTGTCTCCTCCACATATTTTACACTCAAGCTTTTGAAGTAATTAGTTATATCTTCCAAAGAAGGAATTTTTATGAAGGTATCAAGTTTTGTGAATGATTATTTGACATCTCCATTTTAATATACCTGTGCTGATAGATTGAGGTGCTTAGTCCTATCAATGGTGATGTTCGCCTTGCTATTCCAAGTTCTAGTGGAAGCGGAAGCGTGAGTGATGATGATGCCATTGTTGCATTGCATCTTTTCAGTAAGCAGAGATTGGAATCATCTTTGTTGTAATGCTTTCTTAAAATTATTTTTTTTTCATGTGTTTATGGATATGCCTCCCCTCCCTCGAATGAATTTTTTGGGTCTCTTCTTTCTAATAGTGATCCATATACAATTTTCTTTGTCATATTAGGTCCTGTACCTTGCTTGATTGCACAACAAAAGGACATGCAAGTATAAGGTCGGCTGAAATCCCTAAGCCACTTGGAGATTCTGTCACTGAGAGTTCACAAACTATATGGAATGTATGTGGATCGGGTAACATTTTGTGCTCCAAAGTAGACAGCAATGAGCATTATGCTTTGTTTGCAGGGTAAGGAAGTTTTAACATTTTGCATTAGAAATAAGCTTGGTTTTGCTTGTTGAGTTTTCTTATGGATGCTGGATTTGCTTTAACAATTCAGGAAGGGAGTTGAAATTAATGTGTGGGATCTGGAACAAAGTAGTAAAATCTGGGTTTCAAAATCTGTAAGTTTCTTCGTTTTTTATATCTCTGTGTTTCTGGATATAAACAGTTGGCTTCGTTAAGCTGTTTGGTTCATGCATTCACTTTTGCAGCCTCCTAAAAACAGTCTAGGCATCTTTACCCCAACGTGGTTTACATCTGCAACATTCCTAAGTAAGGATGATCATCGCAAAATTATAGCTGGCACTAACAACCATGAGGTAATTGGACTGAATGAGTTTCTGTGAAGTTGCAAATATCAATGGATGATATATCTGGATTTCTATCCAGATATGATATTTTTTATAGCACTTTTTTTTTTTTTTTGGAGGAAGAAGGTTTGTAGAACTTCTATATGAAACCGGCATACGGTTGTTTGCAGGTGCGTCTTTATGACATTTCTTATCAGAGAAGACCTGTCATTTCAATTGATTTTCGAGAAGCACCCATTAAAGCTGTTGCTGAAGATCTAGATGGTTGGACAGTGTATGTAGGAAATGGGTCAAGTGACCTTGCTTCATTTGATATGCGTACAGGTATGTCATATGATTACATGTACAAGTGCTCTTGGATTTACATGTTTATTTATTTTTATTTTTAAGGTGCAACTAACCAACCTAGTGATTTTGGTTAGTCTATCTTTAGTATGCATGTTTCCAAGATAATTTTATCCTAGTATGTTCCTACTATCTGATGCTCAACAGTGAGATTACATTTTGAATCTTGATTCTTGATTGAATTGTCATGGTACTTGCTTTAAGTTGGTAAGTGGTTTTGAATTATAACAAAAGCAACACTCGGGAGGTTGTGGGTTCGAATCTCAGTGGACTCTTTGTCCTTCAGTAGGTTGAGAAAGTAGTTATGAACAGATACTGCATTGTAATAGAGTCAGTAGTATTAAAAAAAAAGTATTTCTCCACTTGAGTATTTGATTAAGTAATTGTGATTCTTTATAGTTTATGTTTGTTGACATTAGGAGAATTAACTTACCTTGACAACACTTTAGGGAAGCTTTTGGGATCCTTCTTGGGTAAATGTTCTGGAAGTATTCGATCCATTGCTAGACATCCAGAGCTTCCAGTGATCGGCTCCTGTGGTAAGTGTTTAACATGCTATGCTTTATTATTATTATTATTATTATTATTATTATTATTATTATTATTATTATTATTATTATTATTATTATTATTATTATTATTATTATTATTATTATTATTATTATTATTATTATTATTATTATTATTATTATTATTATTATTATTATTATTATTATTATTATTATTATTATTATTATTATTATTATTATTATTATTATTATTATTATTATTATTATTATTATTATTATTATTTATTTGAGCTGATAAATACTACAACCAAACTTTGGCTAAGTTGGTCCCTCTAGATTGGGGTTAAAGCTTAATTTAGTTTGTGACTGTTGCAACTACAGGTACATGTGTGACTGTACTCTAAGCTTAATGAGTCCAAAATTTCAGTGACTCTTAGTTAATTGTCTTCATTCTTTACTAGACTTCCTTTCCAAATAAGAGAAAGTAATGTGAAAACTTATATTTTATAGGGTTGGACAGCTATTTGCGCATTTGGGATGTAAAGTCACGGCAACTTTTGTCCGCGGTATGTTGACAAACTACAGTTGATGAATAAACATGAATCCTCCATAACCTTGATTGAGTATTAAAGCACGCACATTCATGAAATTATATTTCGGAATTGCCTTTGTATTTTCATCATGTGAACTGGTTTACCAAATTTGTAATGGAGTGTTGTTGCTGTTTTGAATTTAAATGCAGGTTTTCTTGAAGCAGCATCTTACAAATGTTGTTTTTGATTCTCATTTTAACAATGAAGGTTAGTATCTTGTTTGATTGTATGAGCGAGCTCATGATGTTTCTGATGTACCAAGTAACATATTTTACAGGGTGTTGTCTTTGTTGAACATATAACCATTAATGTGCAATCTAACTATCAGCTTAGGCTTGAGATGGAGCACATGCTTCAATTTGGTATCAGAGTCATGCCAAAGGTCATGGATTCGAATCTTTGCCCCACACATGAGGGGCTTGTCTTTATGCATATGCATATTTCTACTCGCCTAAGATCCATACGAATATGAATACATTTATATAGCAAGCCTGATACAGTTTGGAGTCGCTGTGATCATAGAGGTTGTTGCTGCTATAGTTGGTTTTCTCATTGGTTCAATTGATTATTTGAAATGCCATTTTTTTTTTAAAACTTTGCAGCTCCGCTACCTCAAGAGCCACAAGATGTGAGTGAGACGCAAGAAGAATGTGAAGAAGAGACTACAATGGCAACGAAAAGGAAGAAAGCATCTAAAGACCACAGTCGAAAAAAGAAGGTCAAGACCAATAAAACAGGCAAGATGATACGAGGAGTGAATGACAGCTCTTGATCTGTTATTTTCTTTCTTCAATTTAGACTGACATGTTGAAATTTGATTTTGTATATACTCTGTGTGCAGCTCGTCAAGACCCGGAGCAGCAAGATGTGAGTGAGATGTCGGCGTCTCATTCTGAAGACCACGAAAACTGGCTAAATGACGAAGCTGAAGAGGAGACGACGCCCCCTAGAAAAGAAAAGGTATCTAAACGACACAGTGGCAAGAAGAAAAGGAGACAGCGTGTTGTGATCTCGATTTCATGACCTCCTACATAGAAGAGGTCACTATATGCTATCTGAGCACAAGGTGCCTTGCTTTTGCCGGCTATTTTAATTTTGTGGTATAAGAAAATTATTTCCTTTTATTTTCCCTCCTTTGTATACGACATTGCAAACGAGTGGATGCTTCATTGTTGTAGGCCAAACTGTAAACAGAAGATCTATAGTTAGACACCTCTTTTTTTCCTTCCTGAACTGAAGGTTAAATAGTATTTATGCTAAAAACCAAGACACACCAATTAAGCAAAATGATAAACATAGTTTCAAGAGATAGAGCATACCACCAAGACTCTTTGCAGCATCCGTGACTCCATGAGACTCCCAGCAAAATACGATTAGTTAGGATCTATATCTTTTTTTTTTGAATGCTACTCGCTCTATTACAATGTAGTATCTGTTCATATACTTTCTCAACCTACTGAAACACAAAGAGCTAATAACGCCTCCACAGAGGCTCGAACTCACAATCTTCCAAATGGAAGTCCAACCCGGGTACCATTGGACCACATAGTCCTGGTAGTTAGGATCTATATCTATTCATATAAAAGTTCAAATTTTTAATTTTTAATTCATATCATTGAAATTATAATATTTATGAAATACAATTAAAAATTGATCTATTTGATTAGGGAAATTTCATTTATAAATCTACCTAGATACATATACATAATTAGAAATTATATTAACACATACAAAATTTAAAATTTAATTTTTTATTTATAAATATAATTCCATTAATTAAGTATTCTATATGCGATGAAAATACATATATGACTAAATAAATATATAGAAAGTCAAATTGTATTATTATTATTATTATTATTATTATTATTATTATTATTATTATTATTATTATTATTATTATTATTATTTTAGAAATTAGAACTTAATGCATTAACTCAGAAAGAATACCATCAACAAGATAAGGGGAGCGATATCAAACCATTCCCCGCAACCTGACATAGAAACGGCTTCCCGAGCAACAGTGTGGACAGCACGATTCGCAGATCGCTTAGCAAAGCAGAAGTTGATACCATCAATAGTGGATGTCACCTCCTTAACATCATCTACCACTAAACCAAAAGCAGAATACCAAAAAGAATAAAAAGAGTATGAACGTAAAGTAAAATAAAGAAGTTGGGAGTCTATCTCCACATCTACCTCCCCCATCCCAGTTCCCTTTAGCCAGCTTAGGGCTTCACGAACACAGATTGCCTCAACGACTTCAACTGTGTACCTTCCCGGCACACACATGCCTTTGGCTGCCAGAAATTGCCCTCATGATCCCGTAAGATCCATCCCATGCCCATCTGATTATTTTTTAAAACACTCACAATTCTTTACATGATATTATAAGTTCTATAATTTCTCAATTTTTTTCAGCCCAAAGAATCAATGCCCCACCACCATGGTTCAATCTTGTGACCACTCATTTAGAATAGTAAAAGAGATGTCATCACACTACATAGTAATTGGAATTAATAATAATAATAATAATAATAATAATAATAATAATAATAATAATAATAATAATAATAATATTATTATTATTATTATTATTATTATTATTATTATTATTATTATTATTATTATTATTATTATTATTATTATTATTATTATTATTAAGGAAAAGGGTCAAATAGACCCTTAAACTTTCTTCAAAAGGGAAATTAGGCCCTTGAACATTACAAAAGCGCAATTACACACTCGAACTTGTAAAAACGAGTCAAATAAGTCTAATTTACTAGTTACCTGTAAATTATTGACGTTGACCGTCGCTAATCACTTTTCACCACCGTTCAAAACTAAAAAAATATATAAAAATTCCTGCGATTATTTCTATCGGAGAAGACGACGTCCGGTTGTCTTCTCCAGTGGAGAAGACGACCAGATCTGGTCGTCTTCTCCATTAGAGAGGACGACTTGCTAGTCGCCTTCTCCACCGGAGAAGACGACCGGCCGGTCTTCTTCTCTGGTTGAGGCCATCTAATTTTTTTTTTTAATTTTTGTACTTGCCAGAATTTTTATTCGCCGGAATCTTGAATGACTGGTTATTTCAGGTCAATAACCGGCTACTGGGTTTATATGCCTCAAAATGACAAGTTCGAGTGTGTAATTATACTTAAAATTCAAGAGCTAATTGCACTTTTGATGAAAGTTTAAGGGTTTATGTGAATATTTTTCATTATTATTATTATTATTATTATTATTATTATTATTGTTATTATTATATATCGTTTCATTCTTTTTATTTCTTATTCAAGTTCATAATAGCACAATCATTTACGTGTATTTATTATTATATATCGTTTCATTCTTTTTATTTCTTATTCAAGTTCATAATAGCACAACCATTTACGTGTGATACACGAGTAAACACTAGCTTCTCGATCGCTAAAATTAATATTGTACGTAAAAGAGTAGAGCATGATTCTCATATTTAAATGTCATAAGTTCAATTTTTCTTGACATTTTCTTTGTCGAATTTGTCATACAAAATTTTCTTAATGTGATAAGCCTCTCATGTGTAGTTCACAAGTTATTACAGAAAGTGAATTTTACCTAATATATACTCACAAATAATGGTTACAGATTTTATGTCAAAAAATAATATTTTGCGTAATGCATAACAATTCACGTGAGTTATCTACCGCTAAGTAATTTATATATTATTTATTGTTTCATTATTGTTCATTATTGGTATTGAATATATATATAGTGATTGATTTGTTTTCAGAAGTCAGAATGATGTGATAAGGGGGCAAAGGTAGGTGAGAAAATAATGAACCTAAAATAATTAATTACATGGTAGAAAAAATAATAATAGAATAAAAACAAGCCACTGCCATCTCGCTTGATAGCTGCCTAATTTTGTCCTCCCCACACCTTTTAACTTGTAGTTTGGAGAGTGAATTTTATTCAAAAAATTATTCTCGAATTGATAAGATCAATCCAAGGAGTATGACAATTAGTACTTTCTTTAAAACTAAATCACTTCTTTCTAAACATTATTGAACCGTTGATTTATCAAGATACAATAGGTTTTACGCAAATATTTGATTACTCATAAATGTTTCAATAATGAATTTGAACCGAAGTGAACACTCCAATTTTTTACATGAAGTGTTGGTGGAATATTTTGAAAGAGTTGAGCGAATTTCATAGGGATAGAAAATAAGAATATTTTGAAGCTAAGATATCTGATGGATATATTATGCCCACGACCCAATCCGGGGTAGCAACGCGGACTCGGAGTACCATATTGGAGCCCAAGAGCAACACGGACCCGGAGCACCATGGAGGTGCCCCGACCCAAGCCGACCTACGTGGGGCTCGGGTCGGATAGCACGACCCTACCAGAGCTCGGCCTATGGCGGGCTCGGGTAGGGGAGGTCGGTTTGCCGAGCTCGGGACCAGACCCGACTCGGTCCACCCGGGCCCGGTCAAAGTAGTGATCCAACCGCCCCCGATTTAGGGGGAGGCGGTTGGGGGGTTTAGCTTGTATAAAAATCCCCCTCCCTGTCCTAATAAGCGGCATTCTATCTACATTCTTCATCTATTACATACACTTTGTCCCGAGAAACATTGCAATAGTCAATTTACGGCATTTAATACAATATACGGTTTCACGGCCTTACGACATCGTTTCGTTTATTTATATATTATTTATATTACGTTTTTATTCGGATTTATTAATTCGGGTCGACTCCGGGTTAATTAAATCCATCAATATCAAAAGTTCTAGAATAGTTTGCCCAACATAAGGTATTCATAGGGAATAACAAATTCATTAGCATTTATGACATTCAAAAGTCGAATTTAAATTTCAAATGTGTTGAGATTGACACAACACCTAGGGATATAACCAATGTATTATTTATAGACATCTAATCGTTATACAATTAGTCTAAACCAAACTGCTTCACTCCTATTTCTGGTATGAGACAAACTCATATTCTTAATCTCTATATGAGACAAACTCAACAATCTCCACCTTGGCGAATATGTTCTTTAGAAGAAAATATAATTCAACAAATCTCCACCTTGGCGAATATGTCCTTTAGGAGAAAAGCTTATCTCACCATCTCCACCTTCACAAATATGCCATTTAGGAGAAAAACCTTATATCACATATACACATAGGTAGGAACAACCATGCTCATCCCAACTAGCCAGCCACATACACTACGCAGCATCAAACGTTTCCCACTGCATGTACACGAATCGGTTTATCCCAAGCCATTCGCTCTCCGCCGTCGACTTGTTATACCAGCAGCGACTCATGCTAGCTAACTGCCTTGTTCATCTGACCTTTTGCATTTGGCCCATACCAGGTCCATGTCCTCTCCTGGTATCTAGGCTGCCCCTAACACAACAACGCCCCTGCAAAGTCACACTAAACCCGTGTGCCTTACCCAATGCTCCACTAGTCAGTAACACGCACCACGCAGCATCAAACGTTTCCCTGTGCATGTTCAAAAACTGCTTCGTCCGAAGGAATCCACCACACCAGCCTTAACTCATGCCAAGCCCGACCCATACCAGTCGTGACTCATGTCAAGCCCGACCCATACCACATTCTCATCTAGCATCTAGAAACATCCAACAAGTCCAAACAATGTTCGATCTTGTTACTAGTAACTGCTAGAACATTCATCAGCATGTACCACGTTCGCAGCTTCTTGCTTCTTCAACTCCTTCCAATCAGCCTCTTTCAGATTGGCTGGCTTTTCCGCCATCAAGGCTTTCAGAAGACCCTGTTGTGCCAACAAATCCTTTACCCTAGATCCCCATAACCCAAAATTCCCTGTACCATCAAACTTTGATACCTCGAATTTTATGCGTGAACTTGTCATCTCAACAGTGCTCTGATACCATTTTGTTGAGATTAACCAGAACAAGAAACAATACCATAACAAGAAACAATAACAATGGCATAAAGGTAAAGAAGAGAAGATGTATGTGGTCGTGCCTACGTCCACGGGAGTGAAACTATTCTTTTATTCATAGTGATTAGGGATGACAATTCTACCTGCACCCAATGGGTTCCTCGCATCCCCGCCCTACGGGTTTTAAAATATCCGCAGAATTTGGGTAATGGGTGCGGGTATGAGGGGAATTTTTTATAGCCGCGCGGGTATGGGGGCGGGTGCGGAGGAGGTGTCTCCGCCACGCACCCGCACTCG